GGATGATGACGTGATGTCCCGATGATGGTGATGTTGATGGTGAGGGTGATGATGAGGTGATGGTGATGATTTTGATGATGGTGGCCCGATGATGATGATGATGTTGATGTTGCCGATGATGATGGTGTCTCGATGGTGATGATGGTGACGATGATGATTGTGTCCCGGTGATGATGATGATGTTGGTGATAGTGTTGGTGATGATGATGATGATGGTGTCCCGATGGTGGTGATCTTGATGATGTTCTTCATGTTGATAATAAGATGTTGATGATGGTGGTGCTCCGATGCTGATGATGATGACGATGGTGCCCCGATGATGATGATGATGCTGATGATCATGATTGTGACGGTGTGCCGATGATGATGATGTTGACAATAAGGATGTTGATGATGATGGTGATGAGGTGATGACGATGATGGTGCCCCGATAATGATGGTGTTGATGACGTTGATGACGCGGATGTTCATGATGATGACGTTGATGGTGACATCGACTGTGGTACCGGTAATGAGATCGATCGTGAACCCGAGTGTGAGATCGATAGTGAGATCGATAGTGAGATCGACTGTGAGATCGATCGTCAGATCGATTGTGAGATCGATCGAATAAAATAGATCGAGTGAGATTGATTGTGAGATCGATCGAGTGAGATCGATCGAGCGAGACGGATAGTGTGATCGATAGTGAGATGGATAATGAGACCGATCGAGTGATACGTTGGTTCCTCCCCCCCGAACCTCCTTATCACCCGAAGGGTGGTCGTATATGTATATATATATATATAGATCGCGGAGGTTGGTGGGTGAACTCGCAGTGGAACAAAAACCCCCACCCGGGAAATCGTTTCGTTTCGTTCGTGTCGTGCGTGCGGGCGGGGCGAAGCTGCGTGGGCGCGCAAGAGGAATGAACCCGCCGCTGCTAGGGCGAAGTCAAGACAAGTGATTCTCCCCCGCCCGCCCGTCTGGCGGTGGCCCGCGGTGTCCCGCGGTGTCCCGCGGTGTCCCGTGGTGTCCCGTGGTGTCCGCCGTTGCTAGGGCGAAGTCAAGACAAATGATTCTCTCCCGCCCGCCCGTCCGTCCGTCCGTCCGGCGGTGGCTCGCGGTTTCCCGCGGTGTCCCGTGGTGTCCCGTTGAATGAGATCGATAGTGAGATCGATAATGGAATCGATACTTAGATCGATTTGGTGCCCCGAAGTGTCCCGTGGTGTCCTGTTGCGTGAGATCGCTAATGATATCGATTGTGAGATCGACAGGTGTCCCGTGGTGTCCCGCTGAATGAGATCAACAGTGATATCGATGTGGTACACGAGGTGTCCCGTGGTGTCCCAGAAAGTGAGATCGATAATGAAATCGATTGCGAAATCGGCAAATGTCCCGTGGTGTCCCGTAGAGTGAGATCGTTCGTGATATCGATGATGTAACCGATACTACAATCAATGTGGTGCCCCGAAATGTCCCGTGGTGTTCCAAAACCATGAGATCGATAGTGAGATCGATGGGGAGATCGACATGTGTCCCGTGGTGTCCCGTTGAGTAAGATCGATGGTGGAATCGATGTGGTGCCACGACGTGTCCCGTGGTGTCCCAAAAAGTGAAATCGATAGTGAGATCGACAATGAGATCGATGTGGTGCCCCGAGGTGTCATATGGTGTTCCGTTGGGAGGGATCGATCGTGAGATCGATCGTGAGATCGACAGGTGTTCTGTGGTGTCCCGCGGTGTCCCGTTCAGTGAGATCGATAGTGAGATCGATAATGAGATCGGCAAGTGTCCCGTGGTGTCCCGTGGAGTGAGATCCATAGTGAGATCGATTGAATCACATGTTGGTTCCCCCCGCCTCTTCCCCCCCAATCTCCCTATCACCCGAAGGGTGGTCGTATAGGTATATGTACTTACATGTATTCAGCTGTGTTTACATATATTTATAGCCGGGTCCGGGATTCAAGACGCCGGACGTTGGGCCAGGAACGGTGGGCCCCCCGCCCCCCGCAAGGGACCCCAGTGGTACTCGCAGGGGTGGTCGTTTTCTCGCTTTCGGCGTTTGCAAGGGTTGGGGACCCGGCGTCTTGAATCCCGGACCCGCCTATATATACATACATACATACATACATACATACATACATACATACATACATACATACATACATGCATGCATGCATGCATGCATGCATGCATACATACATACATACATACATACATTCATATATATATATATATATATATATATAAAATCATATATATATATATATATGAATAAGCGGGTGCGTGGGCCCGTCTATTTCACGAACACCCGCCGAGGTGAGGCAACGAACCCCACGTTTTGATATCCGTTCGTATTGGCACGGAAGCGATTCGCGAGGCCACGAGCGTGCAGCACCGAGCACAGTGCCAAGGTTAAAAACCCCAGACTGTGTCTGAGATCATGGAGGGTGAAAAGGAAGTGTTTGGGGATCACCGAGAAACTACAGAGAAACAGGCGGCGTGGGAACGACGGCGACAGACAACAACGTGCAAGCGCTGATCACGTCTGTGTGGGCCCGTCGATTTTACGAAGGCCAGCCGAAATGAGGCCACGATCCCCACGATCTGATATCCGTTAGCACTGGCATGGGAGCAATTCACGATGCCTCGAGCGTGCAGCAGCGAGCACAGTGCCAAGGTTAGAAATCCCAAACCACCAGAATTTGGTGCTGGACGTGCGAAACAATGGGGGTGTGATATTTGCATGATTTCTGTTTACTGTGAGCAGAGCAGTACGGTGCTGTTCGACTAACGTCTGCGCATTGGAATGCCATAGTACGGCACGATGTGTCATGAGATGCAATGCCATGCTAGGCCATGTTACGCCGTGGCGTGCAGTGCTAGGCTCAGCTAGGCACTCCTATCGAATGCAATGCCATGACATGTTGAATCATACTGTGATATGCACTGACACGATTAGCTCTGTCGTGCTGTGTCGTGCCATGTCATGTCATGCAATGCTTCTATGCCACGATCGGTTAGGCGGTCCTTTGCTATGCGACGGTATGTTTTGGAGGTCTCTTGGGGCCTCTTTTAGGGCCTCTTTGGGGCCTCGTGGAGCATCTAGGGGGCCTCTGGGGAGCCTCTTGGGCTCTGTTGGGGGTCTCGTGGGGCCTCCTGGAGGCCACTTGGGGCGGAAAACTCCAATTGTCGGTTCGTGTTCCCCCTCTTGGGTCCCTCTTGGGGCCGTCGTAGGGCCCTCTTGGGCGATCTTGGGCGCCTCGTGCGCTGTCTTGGGGCGCTCTTGGGCCGTCTTGGGGCTCTCTTGCGCCGTCGTGGCGCCCTCTTTGGGTGCCTCTTGGACCGTGTTGAACTGATTTCTGGGGACTCGTGGGCTGTCTTGGACCGTCGGAAGCACGTCACAGCGATGACATGAAAAACCGTTGGAAACCATAGAAAACACCAAATTGCACGGGGTATGAGGCGTCTTGGAGGCCTCGTGTTGGCTGCTTAGGGGCCTCTTGGGGGTCTCGGGGGTCCTCTTGGGGCGTGGGGCTGGCAAGTCCAATTGGATTGCCCCATCTTGTGCTCCTCTAGGAGCCCTCTGGGAGGCCGTTGGGGCCGTCTTGGGTGCCTCTGGGACTGGCCTGGGACCCTTTTGGGCCGTCTTGGCGCCCACTGGGGGGCGTCTTGGGCCGTGTAGGGGCGATCTTAGGGGCCCGTGAGGTCGTCAAGGATGGTGCGAAGACAGAAAACACGAATACGGTAAAAATGTATGCCTCTCGGGGCCCTCGTAAGGGGCAAATTGCATAGTTTAAGAGGCGTCTTCGAAGCCTCTGGGGCCGTTGGAGACGTCCCGTGATCAGTCGAAGCCGTCTTCAGGGTGGTGGGCGGCTGGCTGGGGCCGCCGTGACGCTCATCGGACCGCCCTCCGAGGCGATTTTGGGCCCCCCATGGTCTGGCCGGGCCCCAGGCACCCACATTTGCGGTCGAGGTTCCGGCCCTCGGCCCCCGAGCCCCGTGCGCCGTTATATGCATACAGCGCGGAAAATGCATGACCGAGGCCCCAGACCACATCGTTCTGCTGCGTCTCCCGAGCCAGATCGATCTGTGATGGTCCTGGGCCCCGAAACGAACTGGGGGATAACGCGCGCTGCGAAAAGACATCGCCACGCCCTGGTCCCAGCCATGCGACGTCCAGATTTTGCTTATACGTAGTCCCCAAGAGTCCCGCACCCGAACTGGGCGCTGGCCCCTGGAGGAACCACCCGTTCCGTGTACGGACTCCCCCCTGCCGTCCCACCACAGACCCCCCTGGTTCGTGGACGGACCCCCCCAAAACCAGGAACCTGCTCCACCGGTTCCCGTCTGGGGTCGTGCCTGGGCCGTCACGGCGCCCTCGTGGGGGCCTGTTGGGGCGATATTTGGGCGTCTGGGACCGGGGCCTCTTGTGGACCTCAACGGAGAGCTCGAAATGTCGGCTCGTGTTCCCAATTGGGGGTCCCTCTTGAGGCGTTCTTGGGGCCCTCTTTTTTTATGCTGGACGACGGCTCTCGACTGCACTCCCACAGCCCTGGACAGTGCACTACAGCAGCCTGTTTCCCTGGGGGTAGGTCACATCCCATAGTCACGCCGTGCCCCCTAAGCCTTTGCTGACTTCATGCTGCATGCGTTGCATACAGGGAATCAGCAATGAATCGGGGGCTCTGCAGCTCATCACGCCAGAGAAAAACTCCAATCAATGGTTGGTTTCGCTAAAGAAATCCACCGAAATCGGCCCGGAACCAATAACCGGGAACCCGGGAACCCGGAACCGGGAACCTGGGAACCAAGCCTGCTACCATTGTCAAAATCGGCGGGAAACTTTCGCCAAATCTTTCAACTTCCGCTAGGACCCCTTCAGTGCAAGCACTGATTGGGGAATAATGAGGGGGGGCTCCCAGGCGAGAGCGCTCATGGCCAACTCTGCAGCCTGGCTCTCCTCCTCCTCCTCCTCCTCCTCCTCCTCCTCCTCCTCCTCTCTCCTGTCCTCCCGCCACCCCTGAACCAGCGCTTGGCCAGAGAGCCTGCCGCTGTCTACTGGGACCCTAGCCGCCCCAAGGGCAATCACAGAGAGATCTTGGTGCTGCTGCCACTCCGCGTAGCGTTCGAGCTGTCCTCCGCGGTGTGCTCTGCAGCGGAATGGGTGCTGTGTATCGCCCTGAAATAATTTTCCTTGGCCTTCCGCTGCAGGCGACGCCGCCTTGACTTGCCGATCGGCTCAGGCTTTGAGGATATGCGCGAACCATCCGCGATGTCGCTCCCATCCTTCTCCGAGCTCCTGCCAGACTGCTGCTTGGCGTCCTCCTCCTTTGCCAGACGGCCTCCCCCGAATGCTCCAACCTGGGAGTTTACTCCGCTGTCTGACACATTCGACGTTGAGGACGATGTGGCGTTAGAGGTGGGATCCGACTTGGGGCGGTTTCCCACGGTGACGTAGTCGATCCAGGGCGACGGATGATCCAGGAAGGTGTTCTTGGAGGTCAAGCTCCCTGGCAAGTTCGCCGCCACCGGCGCCAGGGACCCCTGAAGGCTCATTGTCCGTGGAGCCGCGCGTGGCTCGACCCAGACCAGCTTGAGTCAGAATGGCTTGAGCCAAAATGGCAACGGAAGGCGCTCTTGGGGCCCTGTTGGGCTGCCTTGGAGGTCGGTTGGGCCGTCTGGGGGGCCTCTTGTGCCATCTCGGCGCTCTCGTGGGGCCTCTGAGGTTGTCTCCGGGACAATCTTGGAGCGCCGGGAAGCCGAAAAGGCAGAAACGCAAAAATCCGTCAAAAACCTAAGTACAATCAACGACTGTTGCCTCTTAGGGCTCTTTTGGGAGTGCTCCTGGAGACCCCTTGAGCCGTGTTGGACCCTTTTTGGGCCGTCTGGAAGCCATTTTGGGCGTGTGAGAACGATATTTCGGCGACTTTGGGCCGTCTTGACAGCCTTTAGGGGCCCTTTTCATTTGTTTCGGGGCTGTCTTGGGCTGTCTGGCGGCGTCGCCGGCGGTCCAGTCCCGCCATGCGCTGTCGATGGCCCGCTCCGGGCCCCCTCTGGAGGCGCCCCTGGCGGCCTGGTCCTGCCATGCGCTGTCTGGGGCCCAGATGCATCAAACTGCCTCCAGGATGCCCCCGAGAGGCCTCCCACGAGGTCCCAACACACATCCAAGAAGCCTTTCACCCGCAACCAAGGCACGGTGGCAGGGTGGGTCGAAGGTCATTAGAGACAGTTGTAGATGCGACCAGTTCGCCTGCAATGCGGGCGAGCCCCGACTATATGGTATGCTTGCATACATGCAGCGCTCGGTTGCCGAACAAATGTCCAAAGACATTTCGGTCGGCAGCAATTCCAATAAATCTGGAGGCAAGCAAACGTAACTATCTATAACCATCGGAACCGAATTGCGGAAAGCATGCCGATGCACTTCGTGTTGCACTTCTCGCAACGCGTGGCCTTTGTTGAATTTGTCATTGTTCACATGGAACGCGTCTGTCACATGTCAACGAACGCTAAATAGAATGCACACGCGCTCCGTTTCCCAATCGCTGGGCGAAGTAAGAACAATCGTTACATTGACGAACTCTTTTGCACTTCAGAGACTGGTGTGGCGTATCAGGCTCGCCCACGCTCACCGTCACTAGGGTACTTTCGCAATTACTTCTTGAACTGTGCAAGCGCTCTTTCCTGGGAATCGCGGCATTCGCACGTGTCCCAACTTTCCGTCGTCCACACGGCCTGTTCCCTGCTCTCCTTGAGAGAGGCACGGTGCCCTTACCTCTTTCAGTTGGTAGACTTGGCTGACTCAGTGCCAGCGAGTACCCAACACGATGGAAGAGAACAGCCACTTGAATTGGCGCAGAAGTGCCAGGTTCGGTCTTCGAGTGCAGTAGGTTACGTGTGGGCACTCGCTGACAATATGAAGACCAAACTAGCTAATGCCAACTTGGCTTGAACCAAAACAGACTGCGGAAATCTGCCTGGGAGAAGCGGGGTTTCAAATACCAGGACCTCCAATGTCGTCATGCTATCTCGACGCACCCCTGGAGACGGCTGACTACCAAGTGGGTTCAGCAGCATAGCGGGTTGAATCCGCCAACCCCTTGTGACTCTCAAATCGTGTGAACTTGTTCCCCTCCCATAGTCCCCCCACCCCCAAGGACCCCAAACCGTCTTTTGACCCGCACCCCCCCTTCCTGGCCCGGGACGAACGCATCATGGTGGGATTGAGGGCCTCAAAACACGCTAAAAGGGCCCCAAGCGGCCCCCAAGACTGTCCAAGAGGGCCCCGAATCGCCAAAAGATCATTCAAAGATGCCCAGGATGGCCTCCAGACGCCCCCAAGACGCCTCCAAAAGGGCCCCAGGAGGCAAAACTCATTGGGCTCAAAAGGTGTTTGTTTGAAGACTTGGGAGTCGTCGTCTGTTCCCTTTCCCGGCACGCCGAGGCGGCCCAAGAGGTCCCAAAGATCGCCCCAATGGGCCTCCAGGGGTGCCCCAAAACGGCCCACGAGGGCCCGCAAGCGGCCCCATAAACCTCCAAGGCAGCCCCAAAACGCCCCCAAGACGACTGCAAGAGGGGGCTCAAGCGGGGAACCCGAACGGACATTTCGAACCCTCGGCTTCGAGAGGCCCCCAGGAGATGACGAGAGGCCCCCATGAGGCCCCCAATAATTAACCCTCATGAGGCCCCGAGGAAGCCCCAAGAGGTCCCGAGACAGGCCAACTGGAGGGCCCCCGAAGGGGCGAAACGGTGCAAAAGCGCACCAAGACGGCACAACACGCCCCAAGAGGCTCCCTAGAGGCCCTCGGGAACCCCCCCAATGAATCCTAGAGGCCCCCATGAGGCCCTCAGGAGGCCTCCGAGAGGCCCGCGAGAGGCCCACATGAGGCCCCAAGATACCACCACAAGGCCCTCAGAATTCTATATGAATGGCACGTTGTTGCTGAGCTCATAGGAGCTTGAACTTGGCGTTGCCTTCTGCCGCTGAAGGGGCCGCGCAGCGCAAGAGCGCCCAAAAAGGCCAGCACGCGCCAAAGGGGCCCCGAGACCCAAGAGGTCCCCAAGAAGCCCCGCTGAGGCCCCGAGGAAATCTTTCAGAGGCCCCCCGCAGGCCCGCAGGAGTCCCCGCGACGACTGGGCTGCACGTGCTCTTCACCTGCGCACTGTACACATCGATTGCAATCTCCGCATATGCGATCCACGGACCCAGATGACGCGCGACAGCGTGGCGCCATCTTTTGGTCCGACTCGCTTCCTAGCAAGGACGCGAGATGTGGCTGCAAAGGACAGACCCGCGCTCGACCCAGCTCATGCAAACGGCGAGAGCTCCATCCCCGACTTTTACCATCGACGCCCCGTCCCCGAAGCTCCATCGCCCGGCGGGGCCGCACGGCGAAAGAACGCCCCAAGACGGCTCAAGACGCCCCGGGAGCCCCCACGAGGCCCAAAGAAGCCCCCAAGAGGCCCCGAGAAGCCCCCATGAGGCCTCCAAGAGGCCCCGAAGAGGCTTCCACCAGGCGCCGCAACGACTGGACTGCACGCGTTCCGGACGCGCACCCCGCGAAGCGAGAGGAATCCGCGCCCGGAAATGACGCGCTGCTGGAGGCAGTTCGCGCAGCGGTTCGGAAGCCCAAATGCAACGTACCTCATGTATCCAATGGTTGCAGGTATGCCACATGCTGTATTGTGGTCGATTATTACGTCCCCCTAACCGTCCCCACGGGCCACGCCCCATCCGTCGACCAATCTTGGTGACCCCCAGCTGGGCCCAAAAACTTACAACAACCCATGGGCAATATATGATTTGGGCCCCTTGGGCCTCTTCGGGTTCTAAGAGTGCGTCAAGACGGCCCAACATGGCCTCGAGACGGGTCAGGACGACTCCAAGACGGTCCAAGATGGCCCCAAGAAGGCACAGGAACAAACAAACAACAAAAAACACAACCCAAAACGGCCCCAGAAGGCTCCAAGAGGGCACTCAAATGCGTCTCGAGAGGCCGAAGTCATCGACTGTCCAAAGGCTTTTCAGCGATGTTAGCGTTTTCGCCTTGTTCGACTCTCAAAGGCCCATGACGGCCCAAGTAGATTTCAAACTTGCCCCAAGACGACTCAAGAAATCCCACGAGGGCCTCATGACGACCCAAGACGGCCCAAATACGACCCAAGAAAGTCCAAGAGGCCCTGATGACGGCTCAGGGGGAGCCCGAAAAGGCCCCAAAACGGCCGCGAGAGGCCAACTGGGCGGCCACCGAAGGAGCGAAACGGTGCAAAAGCGCACCAAGACGGCACAAAACGCCCCAAGAGGCTCCCAAGAGGCCCTCAGGAAGCCCCCAAGGAATCCTAGAGGCCCCCATGAGGCCCTCAGGAGGCCTCCGAGAGGCCCGAGAGAGGCCCACATGAGGCCCCAAGATACCACCACAAGGCCCGCAGAATTGCATATGAATGGCACGTTGTTGCTGAGCTCATAAGAGCTTGAACTTGGCGTTCCCTGCTGCCGCTGGAGGGACCGCGCAGCGCAACAGCGCCCCAAAAGGCCAAGACGCGCCAAAGGGGCCCCGAAACCCAAGAGGTCCCCAAGAAACCCCGCTGAAACCCGGAGGAAATCTTCCATAGGCCCCCCACAGGCCCGCATGAGTCCCCGCAACGACTGGGCTGCACGTACCCTTCACCTGCGCACTGCACACATCGATTGCCAACCCGGATGACGCGCGACAGCATGGCGCCAACTTTTGGCCCGACCCGCTTCCCAACATGGACGCGGTAAGTTGCCGCGGCGACAGGCCTGCGCTCGACGCAGCTCATGCGAAAAAGGCGAGGGCTCCAACCCCGAAGGGCCCCAAGAAGGCCCCAAGAGGAATCCAAAACAGCCCCCACAAGACCCCCAGGAGGCCCCACAGCGACTGAACTGCATGTGCTTTAGATGTGAAGCGAAAGGAGCCATTGAGGCGGGTTCGAACTGCCAAGCAGGTTGGCACGATCGAGTGGGTTCAAGCTGCAATCATTTTTTTTTTTTTTTTTTTTTTTTTTTTTTTTTTTTTTTTAAAAAAAAAAAAGGAAAAACAGGCGAGCTAAAACAACCAAGGGGGTCAGAACAACCAGGCGGTATAGACCAACATGGCGAGTGAACGCGGCCAGGCTGGCGACGGGAAGCGCGAAGTAATTCCCGTTTGAGAGTGAACGCTCGTTTGAGGCAGCCCTACAAGGACTAACTTAGTCCCAAAGCGGCCGCTTCGCGAGAAACACCATCCCACAGAAAACACCCACTTTGAAATACTTATTTCCAAAGCTTGCCCGGGGGGCCACGCAAGGGCTCCACGGGTGCCCCGAGACAACGGGCAACCAAGAAGCAACCACGGAAGTGCAACAAACACCACGGGAGCAGGGAATATGAGGTTACGAGCGGGCAGCGAGCAGGGTGCGGATGATGAGGAATGAGGAGGAAAGAAAGGCAGGTATGAGTAAAAGTGACAAGCGAGGAAGAGCACGACACGTTGTGCGATGATAAGCGCGGAAGAAGAGAGGAGGGGGAGGGGGAGGAGGAGGAGGAGGAAGAGGTATAATGCAGAGGAACGTGATGACTGGAGTCACGAGGAGGAAGAGGAGGAGGAAGAGGAATAATGAAGAGGAGTGTGATGATTGGAGTCAACATGAGGATGAGGAGGAGGAGGAGGAAGAGGAAAAACGAGGAGGAGGAGGAGGAACGG